CACCATGATGTAGATACACAGCTATGGTTTTAGGATTTGTGTGTATGTGTAAGTATACATTCACAGGACATAATCAATAAAATGTTAATTGTACCACAAATGAGGTTACAGGTGATTTTACTTTGTTGGACTTTGGTTATTTTTCTCACCTGGTAATTAATTTCTATTTGTTATTGTGATAAAACACACAGAACATAAAATTGATACTTTTAAGTATATAGTTCTTTGGCACAAGTGCATTTACAAGCTGGGTGCGGTGGCACATGCCTGTAATCCCAAGCAGCTCAGGAGGCTGAGGCAGGAGAACCTGGTGTTCAAAGCCAGCCTCAGCAAAAGTGAGGTGCTAAGCAACTCAGGGAGACCCTGTCTCTAAATAAAATACAAAAAAGGGCTGGGGATGGGGCTCAGTGGTTGAGCACCTCTGGGTCAATCCCAGGTACCTCTCCAAAAAGCATGCATTTACATTTATTGCACAGCGATTCCCACCCACTGTTGATCTCCTGAACATTTTCATCCTTCTCCCCACTCTGCACCCACTCCACAGGAGCTCCCCAATAGCTTATGTTGCCTTTCCAGTGAGGGAGAAAAACCTTAGGAAAAATATGTTAGAAAGAAACAAGTAGCAAACATCGTTTTCACACAGAGCTTGCTTCAATTAAGTTTGGATTATAAGTTTTAAAGACTATCAAACAAGCTCATCTGTTTTTCAGTTTCTAATCTTGTGGTTTTTTTTTTTAAACCCTACCCTATATAAGTCTACGGTGGTGAAGGGACACGTATTCTTTTGCTGTAATGACGGCACTGCAGGACAAACCATTTGTGTCACCCCAATAAATGGACTCCTCCTACCGCTGTAACCACGGCTGGAGAAATTGGGTGCGAAAGCAGAATCACCTGGAAGTGTGATTAGTGTTAATTTCTTTATGCCAGTTTGTCTGGGCAGTGAGAATTGGGGAGGCATTAAAGTGTCAGGTCTGATAGTAATGGACAGCAGCATTCTGCCTTCTGGATGCAGCTGAGAACACAGGAAGCAGATGCTTTTGTCCCCTCAGTCACAAGGGATGAATTAAGAAGACTCCAAGCTGGTGCGGTGGCCCATGCCTGTCATCCCAGCCATTCAGGAGGCTGAGGCAGGAGGATCACGAGTTCCAAGCCAGCCTCAGCAACATAGCGAGGCCCTAAGCAACTCAGTGAGACCCTCTCTCTAAATATAATAGAAAATAGAGCTGGGGATGGGGCCCAGTGGTTAAGCACCCCTGGGTTCAATCCCCGGTACCAAAAAGAAAAGACTCAAAGTGTTCTCTCTGGCAACCGGGTTTCTTCACCAAATGTACAAATTTGCTTTAAAAACAGTGAGGAGAGAAGTGAGGATTGTGAAGATTCCGTGGCAAACTCCGAGTCTCCCTATGTATGATCTCATTTGCTCACTGCCCTTGACAGTTAGGAAAAGGTTTTTAGACCCGTCTCTGGATAATGGGCAATTAATTTGAGATGAGATGCCCCAAAGTACAGGATTCTTAATGGAATGCGAAGGTTGAGGCTCTGCGCGTTCAAATGTCATGGGACGCAGAGTTCATGCTAACTGGCCCCATGGTCAGCCTGCCCTTTTACCCATTAGCAGAGGAGAGGGGTTTGGTGAGATGATCATAAGCCCTCGCTATCTTGGCTACTTGGAACAGAAGCTCAACTGTAACCCAAGAGTGCCTTCCAGTCTGGATATCTGATTCATCCTGCTGCCTACCAGGCATGACCCCTAAGGATGTATTGAATATGTTACATGTGGGGAAAGACACACTGTATCCCGAATCCATTTAACTTTGGGCTGAAGCAGGACCCCTGAGTATCACACACATCTCTTCTACTACTCACGCTCAAACCATAAGTGGCATTGTCTTCTCATGCAAAGAACTGTAAACCTGCCAGGTGTGGTGGCACACGCCTGTCATCCCAGTGGCTCAGGAGGCTGAGGCAGGAGGATCTCGAGTTCAAAGCCAGCCTCAGCAACTGAGTGAGGCCCTGAGCAACTCAGTGAGACCCTGTCTCTAAATAAAATATGAAAAGGGCTGGGGATGGGGTTCAGTGGTTAAGCACCCCTGGGTTCAATCCCTGGTACCAGAAATACTCCCCAGTTTTTGCTGGTATGTGGAAGCTAAACCACAATATAAGGGGACAGGGTGAGAAGAGAATCTCAGCAGATTGGACAAAAGGAAAGAAAGGAAGGGCTGGGGATAGGGGTAGGAAAGACAGTAGAATACATCGAACAGAATTTTCCTATGCATTCATATGAAATACCCAAGTGAACCCCGACCCTTGCGCCCACCCACAGGAATGGGGTGCTGATTAGAATAAGATAGATTCCCTGCTTGCATAATTCTATCAAAATGGATTCTACTATCATGTATATCCAATAAAAATAAAATAAAAAGTAAATAAATAAATGTTTAAGAAGATGGAAAGGCTAATCACCCTCATTTGATCACCATAATTACCTGTACTTATGTGTCAATGGGAAATAACCCTAAAAATGATGGGAGAAAAAGGACTGTTGTCTCTAAGAGGAATAGAGAACACTAAATTATAGGCCATGGGAATTTTGCTGGGCAACAGAGTTCTTCTACAGGTGCATTATAGTGTTATCATACTCTAATTCTATTTTTATGTATTTTTTTAGTTGTTGATGAACCTTTATTTAAATGTGGTGCTGAGAATCGAACCGAGTGCCTCAGACATGCTAGGCAAGTGCTCTACCACTGAGCCCCAGCCCCAGCCCCAGCCCCAGGGTTATTCTTTTAAGCAAATTTCAGGGTGCCTTATCCCGTGAGCTAGAATCACCAGGTGGGACTAGTGAACAGTGGTGAGTGACCAGTTGGTTTTCTTTTCTGAATTTCAGCCTCAGCAAGAGCCTGGAATTTATTAAACACAAACTAAATATGTTTTTTGTTTGTTTGCTTTTCGGTACCAGGGATTGAACCCGGGGTGCTTACCCACTGAGCCCCATCCCCAGCCCTTTATATTTTTTATTTAGAGAGAGGGTCTCCCTGAGTTGCTTAGGGCCTTGCTGAGTTGCTGAGGCTGGCTTTGGACTTGTGATCCTCCCGCCTCAGCCTCCTCAGCCACTGGGATGACAGGCATGTGCTAGTGCCCAGTACCAGGATAGATTTTATATTTTAAGCATTTTCCCCCCAAAACAGTACAGTTCATGTGGGTTTATTTTTGTTCTTTTCCTAATCACCTTAGCAGTATTTCACTTGATATTATAATAATTTTCCTTTTTCATTAAGTGCTTTCTTTTTGCCACGACCTATACAAATGTGCCATCCCACTAAGCCTCACAAGTCTTGTGATGCAGCTTGCTATGAGAAAAGTGAGGTTCAGAGGTTAAGTCTTGTGCTTGGGCTCACCAACACACAAACAGTGTAGCCAGGATTCAGTGAGGCCTGTGTTAACTGGGGACTTTCACCTCTCTAATGGTCATTGAGAAAGAAGCATCTAGAACAGGGCCTAGCATGCAATAGTCCTCCTGCCTGCCATTATGTGTTTTTTGTTTTATTGTGTGTGTGTGTGTGTGTGTGTGTGTATGGTACTGGGGATTGAACCCAGGCCCTTGTGCATGTGAGGCAAACATTCTGCCAACTGAGCTCTATATCCCCAGCCCATATGTGTATTTTTTGAAGTGGGCGTGGTCACGCAGACCAGTCATCCCAGCAACTTTGGAGGCTGAGGCAGGAGGATTGCAAATTTGAGGCTAGCCTCAGCAATTGAACAAGACCCTCAGCAACTTAGTGAGATTTGTCACAAAATAAAAAAAAAAAATTTAAAGGATTGGGGATGTATCTCAGTGGTAAAGCACACTTGGGATAAATCCTCAGTACCAACCCCCCCAAAAAACTTATTCTGAAATTATTATAGAGTCACAGGGTGTTGTAAAATACCACAAAGCTATTCGGTGTACCCCTTATCAAATATCTCCCATGATAATCTCCAGTGCTCCATAGAATTTATAACCTCATGCTCCTTTGCAGTTACTCTGTCTCAACTCCAGGAACATATGGAACCATTTTTTGTTGTTGTTGTTGCAACAAATTGGTTTAACATATTCTGAAAATTTATATGTTCTCTTTCTTTTGCTTAACATTATATGCTGGGGATTTATCAGTATCATTGTGTGTGTTAGTAGTTCAGGTATCTTTTCTTTTTTCTTTTTGTACGGGGGGTTGAACTCAGGGACTCTTCATTTAGAGACAGGGTCTCACTGAGTTGCCCAGAACCTCATTTTTGCTGAGGCTGGCTTAGAACTGTCAATCCTCCTGCCTCAGCCTCCGGAGCTGCTGGGATGACAGGCATGTGCCACTGCACCGGGCTGTGTTTATTCTTTTAAAAATTCCTTTTTAAAAAAGGGAATCAGACAGTTTGTGGTATTCTACATATTTCCTCCTACTACCAGCACATGAAGATCTAACTTAAGTTGTTATTATACAGATGAGGTGTGCATGGTTCTTTCCAGATTTCTGCCTTCATTTACTTATTTGCTGTTTCAAACCATAGTAAATAATAGTAGAGATGTGAGCCCACTTTCCCAACCTTTCCTTAGGGTAAATTCCTACTAGCTGGATCCCGAGTGGAAGGACATTATGTCGCTTGGGAGTTATTGCCAGATCATCTTCTTGGAGGCTTTTGGCCACTCACTCTCCCTCTGAGCGTGTCTGCATGTAGATGTGGCACAGATTTTAAGCGGAATCCCCCAGACTCAGCTCTTTGATATTTTTGCCTTCATGGAGTTAGTCTGTGCGATGGGCCCCCCAGGTTAGCCTGTCCCCAGCTGTTCTTTCTTTCTGACATTCCCGCCTGTCCCTCCCCTGCAAAGGGAAACCTGTGCACAGGGATGACTGAGAGGGGCAGGCCCTGGCATCCCTGTGGGTGGCTCTGCCCCAGCAGTCCTGGGGGCTCCTTCTCCAGGAAGACTTCTTGTTGACGGCCTCTGTTTTATCCATGTCCTGCAGGAGGGAGGCTCCACAAGGACCTGCGACATTTTCTCAATCAACGGTTCCAGAAAGGGTCCCCGGATCACGAGCTGCAACAGACCATAAGAGATAACCTCTACCGCCACGCTGTGCCTTGTAAGTCGCCAGGCTTGGCATCTCACCGCGGGAGGGTGGGTGAAAAGTCAGGGGGATGCGTGGCAAGTTCGGCTCCTGAATGACACTGGGAGTTCAAGCAAATCAGCATTGGACAGTGGGACAGCCGGCACAGGGTTATGGTGTGCCTGACTTGGCCTTGACTCTGACACTTACTAAGTTGCTGTCCTGGGCAAATTGGACCCCTTGGGGGATTTTTTGGTGGTGGTTGTTTTTTTGTTTTTTGGTGCTGGGGATTGAACCCAGAGTGCTTAACCACTGACCTCATCCCCAGCCCTTTTTATATTTAATTTAGAGACAGGGTCTCACTGAGTCCCTTAGGGCCTGCTAACTTGCTGAGGCTGGCTTTGAACTCGTGATCCTCCTGCCTCAGCCTCCTGAGCTGCTGGGATCACAGGCCTGCGCCACCATGCTGGGCATTATCTAGCTTTTGTAAAGTTCCCTTGTCAACTTGGTGGAGAAGACTTGTGAATAATACTAATTTCATGGGTCTGTTAGGAGTGTTTTACTCAGCGTTTTTGCTGTTGTGACCAAAGGACCAACCAGAAGACGAGGAAAAGTTTATTTGGGGGCTCAGGGTTTCCGAGGTCCCAGTCCACAGACAGCAGGCTCCACTCCTCGGGGCTGGAGGGGAGGCAGGACATCATGGAGGAAGAGTGTGGTGGAGGGAAGCAGCTCACATGGTGATCAGGAAGCAGAGAGAGACTCCACTCTCCAGAGACAAATAGAGACCCCAAAGCCACCCCCCAATGCCCCCTCCTCCAGCCACACCCACCTGCCTCCAGCCCCCACCCAGTTAATCCCATCAGGGATCCATTCACTGGTTGGGTTAAGGCTCTCACAACCCAGTCATGTCTCCTCTGGACCTTCCTGCACAGTCTCACCTGTGAGCTTTTGGGGTCATCTCACATATAAACCATAACAAGGAGTAAATGGGAGAGACCTGTGAAGCATTTTGTGAGGAGTTGGCGTGGCCTCCTTTCTGATAGCCCTTGTTGTTATTAAGCCTGAGGCCTGTAGGCTGACTGGCCTAGAGTGGGTCATCAGTGGGTGCCTGATGGTCTCTTGTTGAAGAGGGGACCTTAATAGCTCACCCATCCTCCCTGGGCGGCTTCTCCATTCAGCCAAATTTACAACTTTGTAAATGAGTATTTTTTTTTTTTTAAGAAATGGTTTCCACAAATTAAAAAGCTCAAATTCCAGAAACCATTAGCTAAGACCAAATCTGAGAAGGCAAGATTCAGGCAGAAGAGCTCTGAAGGCCAGACTCTTGTATTAAGGGAAGGCAGGCGGGCCACTGTCTGCCTGCCAGATAGATGATTGACAGCCAGTTGTCATGAGGACACTCCACCACATCCTTGTACAGGGGAGTTATAACATGAGTCCTGCACAGCCCAGATTTGGACTGAAGTTAAATAACTGCATGTCTGCCCAGGACTTATGCAGTTATTTAATTTCTGTCAAATTTGAGGAGAGAATGATCCTAGTTTATTGCTTGAAATTTTTCTTTCTTGTATCGTTTAGGTCTTTAAAATGTTGAAGTATCTGTTCTTAGAGATATCATTTTAACTCTCCCTTGAAAATGGAATAAATTTGTGTTTAAGTTATCCTTTTTATTTATTTTTATTTTATTTTTTGGGGGGTACTGGGGATTGAACTCAGGAGTGCTCAATCACTGAGCCACATCCCCAGCCCTTTTTTGTATTTTATTTAGAGACAGGTCTCACTGAGTTGCTTAGGACCTGCTAGGTTGCTGAGGCTGGCTTTGAACTCACCATCCTCCTACCTCAGCCTCCTGAGCTATATAAATGGTTTTCTTAAAACAGTTTTTGCAAGAGTAATATGCAAGAGTACTAATGTTTGCTGATTGTAAAACGATAGTTGGAACTAATTTAAGGCTTTCTGTGCATTTGCAAAGACTTAGTAAGTTAAGACTGGGACCTCAGAGATGAGTTTCCAGAACAGCTACCGTTCTTTAAGTCTTCCAGCCTTGGATTTGAAAATTGATCCCAATATTATATTCATGATGATTCCATTTATTGGGATTAATGATGATTCCTAATCATAATTACAAGGGTAGTAATTGTCATTCCATTTTCATGGATTAAGCAACCAAGGCACTAAAGTAAATAAGAAAAAGGCCAGGTGTGGTGGTGGTGGTGTGCACCTGCAATCCCAGGGACTGCGGAGGCTGAGACAAGAGGATTGCAAGTTCAAGGCCAGACTCAGCAATTTAACGAGTCCCTGTCTCAAATTAAAAATAAATAAATAAACACATAATAAAAAGAACTGGGGATGTGGCTCAGTGGTTAAGTGCCCTTGAGTTCCATCCCCAGTCCAATAAATAAATAAATACATATCTAAAGAAAGAAAAAAGTTTCTGGGTGACCGGGATTTGAGGTGTCTGGAGTCCAGCATTGGTCTGCCTCTGGCCCACGGCCAAGTTTTACTCTTATAATAACCCTGTGACGGTGGTGACCTTTGGCACCCATTCTACAGGTGAAGCAGTCTTCCCAGGAAAATTCCATGACCAGGAAGTCGCTGGTGTGGGTCTTTTTGGTGGCTTAAGTGATCTTGGGCCGGTCGCCTCGCTGTCCCATGGCTGCTTCAGGTTGAATGCCATTTGCAGCGTTCAGTAATCGCAGACTCATGATTGTTCTCTGTCTAATTTGTCCCCTACTTAGATTCCAATTTAAGAAATGGGGATGAAGCAGATGAGCACACCATTTCTTGATGCATCTGTGGGGTTACCATGGTGACATGTTGGCATGCTTTCCCATTTAGTTTTTATTTTTTTTCCCACTGATTTATTGGACCTGACTTGGAGCTAAACGGCTTGATTTTTTTCTTTTTTTTAGCTTACCACTATGTAGGAATTGGGGGCTCAAATGACCTCAGTCTTTGGAAAAAACAGTGCAAAAACCTCATGTTGGCCTTGGCTTAGGTAAAAGCCTTCGGTGTGGATGTGGTGTGTGTAGGAAACCAGGGAATCTGGCATTTGGAAAGCGGAAATGGTGTTCCCACCACAAGAGAAAACAAGGACCGATTCGTTTTATGTTTCCTCCATAAAGTGGGGAGGAGATTCAGCGGAGGTCTGTTTCGGGGCTGGTGTGCCTTTTAGCAGGAGTGGGCGAGGGGGGACTGGGGGTTCTGTTCCAGGCGGGGAGTACTCTGGCTACACGTGCTTGTTTTGAGTTTTTGGTGCTTGTGACTAGGAGAGCAGAGCTCAGTCCCAACCTGTTGCCTCACGGAGGAGGAAACCCTGAATTTGGGGGATGGAGCCTCCTGGTTATGTGGTACCTGTGCTGCAGGAGGCCGGTTGCTGACACCCATACATTCCAGAGCTTTCTGCCTCTGACACCCAGTGATTTTTGGTGTTGGAGAAAAGGAAGACCTCATGAGCAGGTGCCTGTTAGTCGTGGTGAGATTTCTTTTCCTCTAAGCCAGGCACAGTGGTGCACGCCTGTCATCCCAGCGGCTCGGGAGGCTGAGGCAGGAGGATCTCGAGTTCAAAGCCAACCTCAGCAACTTAGCAAGGCCTTAAGCAACTCAGTGAGACCCTGTCTCTAAATAAAATGCAAAATAGGGCTGGGGATGGGGCTCAGTGGTTAAGCATTCCTGGGTTGAATCCCCAGTACCAATATATATGGTTTTTTTTCTCTATATTTTAGAGGACTTAAGGGCCCCTAGACAGGAAGAAATAAAGCTCCTTTATTCATAAATTGTTTTATTTTCATCATGTGCATCCTGACAGACTTCCCCACACAGAATTCAGTTTTATCCTCATTCCTTGACACAGATGAGGCAGGAAACAGTCTTCTTTTGCAGATTCGAAGATGCAGCAACCCAACTTGACTTCCTCCAGTCGCCACCGCTCCCAAATGCCACATTACTCACTTCACACCCTCTGCTGTTTGTATTTTTTTGATTTCTAACAGCTTTGATGAGATGTGATTCACAGACCATAAAATCCACCCAGTCCAAGTTGCACCCAGCACTGTTTTTGTGGTTTATTATTATCCTCCAATTCCCTTTTATTCTTCCCTTCATTTGAGAACTTTTATTATTTCTACATTATGAAAAAGGTCATCTTGGTAGAAATTTAATTCTAATGACCACTGAAAATCACCGCCAATTTTTTTTTTTAAGAGAAACAAGAAACAGTTGCAGAATGAGTTCAAAGTTCAGGCGTGAAGTCGAAGGGCTGTTCTGCCAGCTCTGTGACCTGGTACAAGTCATGGAACCTCTCCAAGGCTCATGTATTGTTCAGTAAAATGGAAATAGTGGTCTCAACTATTGTCTCTCCAGTTACACACTGAATCCCTATGGAGTAGCTCTCATGAAAGGAAACAGGATCAGAGTGGCTACCATCTGGCCTTAGGTCACACAGCAAGTAGCAGAGTTAGGGTTTGATTGGGTCTCCCAAGTTGGGTGTAGTTAACTATACCTGATTAGAGTCATATAGAAATAGATCACAGAGAGTGAAAATCTGCTGACCTTAGGGTCTTGGTTGTGTAAAAGGATGGGTATTTATGTCTTACAGGTGGAGTACTGTCATTCATCAGACCTCAAAAATAACTTTTGTCCTCAGATTTTTAAGTAGTTTATGGACACACACAATAGAATTTTAAGAACGGTCATGCAGATTTTTAAAAATCTTTACATAATTTTCTTAGGACATTTAGATGGATCTCATTTTCCGTTAGGTCTTTGTATGTGGATGGAAAGCCACCTCTAAACCAAGGGATCTGAAATGCATGTGCGCATGCTGACTTCTCTGCTTCCTCAGAATCATCTGGTTACTGCCACTCCATTCACGTTCCCCGTCCTGCCTCCTCAGGACTCAGGATGTGCAGCTCACTGCCTGTCTCCTTATAACAGGCAGCGCGCACCTGTCATCCCAGCAGCTGGGGAGGCTGAGGCAGGAGGATCGCTTCAGCAACTTATCGAGGCCCTAAGCCACTCAGTGAGACCCTGTCTGT